CTCGAGGCCCCCCGGGGGCTGGTGGTGGCTGGAGGGGAAGCCCGAGAAGCTGAGGCTGTGGTGCAGCTTGGGCCTCGGCTCCCGAGGGAAGCCCAGGTGCAGCGCGTCTCGCGCACTGAAGGTGCGCAAGTCCCCAGAGGTGCCCCCCGATGGCGCGGGCCTCCGCTCATCCGCGTTGTGGATGAAATGGCAGCGCGGCCCATAGGGGCAGAAGCCAATGGTGTGGAAGGTGCGGCACAGCTCCGTCTTGTACTTGGGGTGGCGGGTCAGGCTGCGCAGCTCGTGGAAGCCGTGTGCGAACTGGCACTTCTCGCCGTACTTGCACGTGCCACTCTCCTCGAAGGGCCGGCACAGCTCAGTTTTGTAGCGAGTAGAATTGATCTGGGAGCCGCCGCCCCCCTTCTGCTGCTGCTGCAGGTGCAGAAGGTGCTGGCTGCGTTCGCCGTTCTCGCTGAACGAGCGGTCCCGGAATTTGTTCTCCTTGTTGAGCAGGGCTGTGCCGCCGCCCCCCGACGGCTCCTTGAGGGTGCCGTAGGAGGCCGGGCTTCCCGCCACCCCGCTGCTGCAGCTGCTGCCGTTAGGCGCGCCCGGGAACTTGGGCGAGCAGCTGCCGGGGTTAGGCGCGGGGTGGGCGAGCGCGTGCAGGTTGCTGGCCGAGTGCCGTCGGAGGAAGCCCGGCGTAAAGCCCGAGCTGGGGGCGGCGGCCACGGGCGTTCCCACCGCCTTCTTGTCCAGCATGTTGTTCAGATTGAGGTTGGCCAGGGATTTCTCCGTCTGCCAAAAGGAGAGCGGGGAAGGGATCAAAAAGGGTCAAGGAGGAAAGAGTTGGGGCGAGTTGCAGAGTAACTGCCAGTCTTCTGGTTCTTTTTTTTTCTTTTCGCGGATTTCGACTCGGCCCCCACCCTCCACCCATACACGCGAAAAAGTTCGCGCTGGTAGGAGCCGGACTCCCACTTCAGGCCGTGCTGGGTTTCGACATGTGATCCTCAGCCCGTGGGCCGCTGGCTTGGGCGGCGCAAACTCAGTCCGGGAAGCCCCGGGTAGCGTGGCCGCGGTCGGCCGGGGAGAAACTAAACAGCTACAGCCGCTCCCTCCTGCCCTTCCTCCCTCCCTGCTCCTTCTCTCCCTGCCCATGAGGCACCAACCAGCACGACTACTACAAACTTCGGGATTTTTTTCCCCAACCCCCAAAAAGTCAAGGTGGGGAGGGGGCTCCCCAAAAGCCGAGGACAGAAGGCAAAGTCTGAAAACTCGAAGGGCTTCCTGCTTGCCCGCCTTCTTCTCTCCTTGCTCCCCCGCGTACCTTGCACAAGAAGTCGATATCGTAGAAGGCGGGCAGAAGTGTGGTCGACATGTTTCTGGATCCTGTAATGGTCCGAGTTGCAGGCTGGGAGGTCCGGCGGAACCTTCGGAGCGGCGCAGCCGGACTGGAGCCACGACGAATAACGGGAGAGGGGCGGGGGAGGGACCAAAAGTTGGCAGGGAGCGAGAAAGGAGGGAGAGGGAAGAAGCGTGGACTGGTTTGAGGGTGCCCAGGAGTGCGGCGTGGGGAAAAGGAGAGAAGCAAAGAGCGCTTCTCCGCGCCCCGGGGTGCCCAGCCCGCCCCCCCGCGCGGG